CCAATTTTCAAAAGGAATTCTTTTGACTTGCCCTGGAAAAAGGTTAACAGGGATACTATATAGAGACCAAGGCCAAGCCCTGCATCCCTTTAAAGGCATAAACCTGGAGGCAGGGTAGAAATCTAGAACTCACTCCTGATATTCTTTCTCCAACCCTCCACTCAGCCTAAACCATGCTCCCATTCCCTCTGTTTAGGAGGGTTGAGGGCTGGTAAGAAAAGAGCCGCCAGAAGATAAACAAGCAACAAATAAGTTCAAACTCCTGTCAAAGATAGGCCGATTTGGATTTTCCACTTTAGTAAGAGAAGAAAAACCCCACAAGCTATATTTTTTCAATAATTCTTCGCCATTTTCTTAAAGTTCACTCTGATCAAACCCTGATTCATCTCTCTTTTCCTTAAGCAGAAATCTTGGATTTCTTTAAAAAAAGCAACATCACTGTGATCATCTCAGTGATGTCAACAGGGTCAATACTGACTCACAGGCTAAACTTTTTGCTAGAACGTTTATTCATTCATCTGCCCATCCATTCCTTCAACAGTTACTTATCATGAGCCCAATATGTGCCTGGTTCTGGGGCCACAATGAACAAGATGGACAAAGCCCAGGTGGACATTTAATAGTGTACTGGGGAAGACAGACAATAAACAAATAGCTATATGCCTGGTGGTTGTTGTTGGGTGCTGTCAAATTGGAGCTGACCCTCTGGTGGAGTCAATTAATCGAACAGGAGGAGACTGCCCATCTGTCCTTCTCCTGTGGAGCAGCTGGTAGAATCGAACTATGTGCCTTCCAGACTATAGCGCAGCTTCCAACCACTAGGCCACCCTAGCTCTCTGTAAGTGCTATGAAAGTGAGGCTGAGGAGCTAGCTGTCCTCCAAATACAGGCACCCCTTTCAGTAGGGTTGGCTCTACAGTGCAGGAATGGGTCTGGGAAGGAAGTTGCCCCAAAACCCACTATGCTGCTGTCGAGGTTCAGAGTCAACCAGCCCATAGTGTTTCCAAGGCTGTTTATCCTTTACGGAAGCAGCTTCTCATATTTTTCTTTTGCACGGTGGCTAGTGGATTTAAACCACTAACATTTTAAATAGCAGCCAAGCTCTTAAACATGGCACCAGTAAAGCTCCTCAGAAGCTGTCCAGTAAGGAACTAAACTTCCCAGGGCCCCTTACACATAGGAAGGTCCATATGACTATCTGAGGGAGTGAAAGTCATGTGTTTCACCTGGGCCCAGACATTTTGGTAGTATGCCTTCTCCGTTCCAGTCTGCCAGCTGGATGCAGAGAACCGCAATGTTCCTGGCAGGGGCTGACTAACTGCTCAGTTCAAGGTGGAGCAAGAAGATGGAAACAGCTTGGTCCCTAAATTAACATGCAGAGACCACCCACCTATCCAGGACACTCATGCTAGACTATTACGCAGGCAAGAACCATCCCTCAGTGATCCATATCGGTGACTGCTTGACAACAGCTCAAAGGTTGGATGGTTCAAACTTCAGGAAGGGCTGGAGATGTGCTTCTGAAAGGTGGCAGCCTTAAAAACTCAAGGGAGTAGTTCCACTCTGCACACAGGGTGTGTGAGCAAGAAATGAACTTCCAGTTTGTCATAGCAGCCATCCTAAGTCACACAGGAAGTACAATGTCCAGTTAGAAAGAGAGGAAGACAGATGCCCCATGGTAGACTGCACTGTCCTTTTTTCACCACAATATCCAGGTCTGAAATTTAGTGTTAAACCTGCCAAAATGCTTAACTGCTACATTTTTTAAAAGGGTTATCAAAAATTCGGTCCTTTTTTTGGTCTTTTATTCAGCAAAACTGATTAAAGAGCTTTTTGCATTTGAAATCTCTGGCTTGGATCGAAAGCACTGGCCCTTTTCTAAAATAGAGAATGTTTTTAGGTGGCTCATTAAGTCACCAAGAATGCTGGGCACTAAACAGAAGCCCTCAGGCTAAAACATGTTTCTCCTCTTTAGTAAAAAGCCATTCTAAGCAAGTTTCATTTGAGGATGAAAAAGAATTACCAAAACAATGCTGCACAGTTGATTAAACATCAATCAAGAAGCATACTTATAAAACAGACTAAGACCATTTGCTTGGATTATTGGTAGCAGCCAAGAACAATATCAAAGTATTTGTTTTCAACAAGGCAAAGGCAACAATGTGAAATTAAAATACATTTATCCCAGACACTGAAGGCAAAACCCCTTTCTTACAGAAAACGGGTTAGCCCTGCCTGACTGCCGCTCAACAGCTGTGTGATCTCATGCAAGTAACTTCTCTGTGCTCCTACTTCCTCCTCAGCACATATTCCAATTGAACAAGGCTGAGGTGAGAATTAAACAAAACGATGGACCCAACACTTAGCCCCCTGTAAGGTTCAATGTAGGGCTTCTTTTCCTGTTTCAGAGATCAGCTCAAAACCCTCTCTGTGCCAACGCATTCACGTCATCACATCCTACCTCATCAACGTCCTCTGGAGCTCAGCAAACCCCTGGAGGACAGCAGTGATGGGACTCAACACAACCACTGACTGAATAAAAAGTGCCACTTCCCAAGACAAGTGTTTAAGCTAAAAACTGCAGTTAGCCATTAGGCACTGGAGTCATTATGGGCATCCTTTTCCTTCGCTAAAATCAGCACTAACTTACCTAAAGGGCATGTAATTCAGGTATTCACAGCACCATCTTATCAGAAAAAGCTTAGCAACCAGGCAAATGAGTCACTTTTGCTCCGCTTCATATATTAAAGTGAAGCTTAAGTGTGTCACATCCTCAAGACTCAACACCAGACTCTCAGAGTAATAATGCCATGTGTGAGAAACAAAAAAGGACAGGTTACAAAATACATGGCCCCATTAAAGTAAAATCTGAAGAGGTACGAATATGTATTTGTGTGTATTGTGTGCTTGTATATATGTGTACATGTATATACTCATATGCTCACAAGTACATGTTGAAAAAGACTGAGAAATTAAAAAAAATCATTATTGTAATTATTCCCTACTAGTATGATGATGATGTTGTATGCCTTGGAGTTTGAAGCAACCCTTATAGCTGACCCTCCAGTGGGTTTTCAGAGGCATTAAATCACATGGGAGGAGGCTGCCCATCTTTCTCTGGTGGAGATATTGATGGATTCGAACCATAAGCCTTCAGGTCTGCAGTGCAGCTTCTTACCATCAGGCCACCAGAGCCCCCCTACTAGTATGCTAAGGAATCGCTTTCTCTGAGTTTTCTAGGTTACTGACCACATTTTTTTTAACAAGGAAATAAGTTTATGATTTTATTTTATTTTTTTTAGAAATAGTACTTAGTGAGAGATCATGTGGCCAGGATCAGAACATTCTTAGTTGAACAGGGGTGGAGATGAGGCAGCCGCCTTCTGCTAACATTTACAGCCTTGGAAACCTGACAGAGGGTCACCAAACTGACCTGCGGCTGTGGGTCTGGTGTGAGTTAGTCATAGAAGAGCAACCGAGCCAATCTGAACTACTAAAGATTAAGACAGCTAAGGTTCAAAACTGCTTCAGGTAAACCAGTCTCTCTTTTGTGCAGCTCTGGTTAAAAAAGTGCTTCTCAGGATAGGTGTGGACATGAAGCCTCCACAGAGTGGTGTCATGGAAAAGCAGGAAGGGAACCCTAAGGCTCCAAATCCCATCTCTACTACGTAATTGTCAAGAAACCCTGAACAAATGACCACTGCTTCAAGCTGGTCTCCCATCTGTAAAACCTTCAACTTTTCAGGGAGACTGAAGCTTTGAATTAAATAGTATTATAAGGCAGGGGGTCTCTAAACTTCCACATTCTCTCAGAGCACACAGATCTGAGAGAGAGAGAGAGAATGAATTACAAAATAAATAACAACAGTACCTTTATATGGTCTATATTATACTACACAGAACCCAGAATTTACTTTCATTTTTTTCCCCCTTCATGCCTGGAAGGGTGGAGGGACAGCGCAAGAGAGGAAGTCTCAGAATGAGATGGATTGACTCTGTGACCTGAGAAATGGGATTAGGTCTGTCAGAGACGATGAGATTGGCTAAGGATAGGGCAGGGTTCAGAGCGAATGCACATGGGGTCACTATGAGTCGCAGGTGACTTGATGGCACATAACAACAACAACAAGAACAAGAACAACAACAACAACAAAAACAACTGTTTTTTAAGAAAACAGTTTTACTATTGCGTAAACATTAAACTAGGATGAGAAATACAACAGAGGAAATTCTCTAAAGAGGCTGCAAAGATAGAAGTTTTAACATTTTTAAAATATTATCAAATAAGTGCAACCCATGTTTTTGTGGTAAATAATAACTGAACCCCTGGGTGCTGCTGAGTTGCTTCTGACTCAGGATAACCCTGTGTGTGTCAGAGTGGAGCTGCGCTCCACAGGAAACCCCAGAACTTTCTAGAAGATGAAAGAAAAAAAGAAATGTAAAGGGAAGTTCTAGTATCTTCTTCCCGGACCCGGTGGCCTCTCATGGGCACCCTGCAGAGGCCCAAAGCTTGAGCTCCAATGTGCTTAAAGGTGATCTTTCCACCGCTCCCGCCCCACTGTGCACAGAGGGGAGAGGCGCCGCAGGGGCAAAGGCTCACAGGCAGTGGCCTCTGTTCCCTCCCTTCCCTTCTCTTGCACTTTCAGGAGAATTTAATCCTTTCTCCAAGAGTTCCAGAACATTTACTCTAAAGACTCTGCTATGACAAATGCTTGGCATGTTTACATGTTTAGACAGAAAATTAACTGGGAAGTGGATGTAACTACTGCTCCCTAGAACCATGGCAACCCCTGAAAGACTACTTGGTGTACTCCTGAGACCAGAGTTAGAATGAGGCTTACAGACAGGTCTCTCAAGAGTGAGACCTTAAAAGACTGCGCACGCACACAAACATATACACACACTCTACTTCTGCAAATACCTCCAGCAAACAGCAAGTCTCGAAAAGATGAAGAGAGAGCTACCAGGAGCTCTGATGAGCTGTGGAAGGCGAAGGCTTACCTTTAAAATTTCGGGTTCTTTGATATCCAGAGGTCTAGTGTTCCAGTGCTGGAGGTGCTTACGGGACCTGTGATATCTATGAGCACTTGGTGGTGTAAAAAACCAAATCATGCACACTGCAGTCATGAACCCAAGGCCGATGCCCAGGAAGAGTCCACTGACGTAGTGGGGGAGGGGGAGGACGAGGTACCCGTAGACACACATGATAAAGAAGCCCAAGGTCTTCACTGGCAGCTCCTGGTGCTGCTCGGCCGCGTCCACCTCCTCCTCGCTGTCAAGAGCGCCCCCCTCGTCCACAAGCACCTCTGACCTGGGAGGGAGGTCTGGGGGCTTGTCAGCCTTGCTCTCCCCGTCTGTCTCTAACTCGAAGTCCTCGGTGTACAGTTCGCAAAACTCGTCATCCTCTTTGCTCACCAAGGCCGACAAGGAACACTTCTCGAGAACCAGAGAACTGGTCTTCAGGCCAATGTCCTTCAGACTGCTGCTCACCTGGGTGCTTCTGGGTTCCACCTCTCTGGCGGGGTCGTCGGCTGGCTTGGGGGGCTCACTTTTGGGGATGTTGGAGTTGCTTCCGTAGCCTTCGCCCTCAGAGTCACACTCCTCTTCCTTGATGCTGTAGTTGTTATTGCTTTCCAGGTGGCCGTTCAAGCTGGACAGGTTAGAGAGCTCGGAAGCACTTGAAGATAAGGCTTTGGGCCGATGGCTGCTGCTTTCCTCCCCGATGATCTTGCTCAGGAGCTGGAAGGGCTCGTAGATGACTTCAGAGAGGCGTCGTTTAGTGTCTTCGATCTTCGCCTCCATCTCGGGCACTTTGAAAAAGGAGCGCGTGTCAGAGGGCGACGTCAGTGGGGAAGAGGGCGCAGTTTTGGAATCTCCCCCTGTGTTCCGGGGCTGCGTGAACTGCTTGAACAGGTGCAAGTTGAGCTTGGAGTCGGGGGGCTTGTAGGACACAGTGTCTGACTCCTGCCTGGAAGTGTCTGTGGACAGAGACTTGACCAGGGTCTTCATCAGGTGCCTGTGCCTTGGGGGGTGTGGGGACTCCTTTGGCTCCACCTCTGTGGACAAGGACTTCACCAGGCTCATGAAGGGCTTTGCGCTGGAGAGGGCCGACGATGAGGCACTGGACGAGAGGACAGGAGACTTGGAAGGAGAGGACAACGGGGAGGAAGAACTGGTTTTCTGCTCAGAAAGGGATGACACACTGGGAGAGCTAGCTAAGGGCCCCGACGAAGACGACCCTGGGGACAGAGCCAATGGCACTGTACTTAATACTTGAACTGCCGGAGGAGGGGACTCCAACAGCTTTACAGTGTTCTCAGAGATGGGCAAAATGGCAGGGAGCTCGGACACGGGCAGTCCATCTGCCAGGGTGGGCGAGGCAGCAGGGTCATGGCCAAGATAGAGGTCTTCCTTGGCCTCGAGCCCCGTTACGATGCTTTGGTCATCCAGCCCCTCCTCAAAGTACTCCCTGAACTCCTCTTCCTCCTCCTCCTCCTCCTCCCCGGATGCCGAGAAGTGAATGGCGATGGTGTCTCGGGACACGGATCTCTGCACGTGCACTCTGGGGGCTGATGGTTTTGGCATGTCAGTGGTTTTTTCGGCATGGCTACCATTCAGACTTGTCATTGCCAGCTTCACAAGGGCTCAGGCTCTGTGAAGAGAGCGAGAAAACCAGGAGTCAGAAAGTGGTTTCTCCACAGGAGACACTGCCGTTTGCAGAGAGGGGCACAGATGGCACTCATTCTGAAATGGTAATTACGCTTTTACCTGGCAGATGTCCATTGCTATTCACTTTAGTGGGCTGAATGATTTCATTTGCACTAGCTAATTTCAGTTAGGCCTTCTCTTTTATGAACAAACGGCAAACCATTATTATCAATGCTGCACAATCCATCTTATCTCGCAACACCTGAATGGCTGGCGCCTCCCCCCATTCTATTGAGAGTTCTGTCTTTCAATGTTTAAAATACCTGCAGGATCAGCGTTATCAGCATGACTTCAGATGCCCCACAGGATAGAATGGAGTGTCCTGGTAAGTTAGGGGATCTCGGAACAAAAAATTCGCCAGTGGTTTTTGCGTTGAAAAAGCTACCCCAGGAAGGGTATAATGCTTCCACTACAATTTTCACAGCAATCTTAAGAATCACTTGGCTTGCATCTCCCCCTAACACTCATATGATCTTGTCATTGCAAATAAGTGGCAACATGTCCAACTACAGATGGATAGTGCAATCTACATATTAATGACCACAACCTTTAACTTCTTTATTCCTAAATGACAGTTGTCATAAGGCCTGACGTATTCAGGTATCACAGATGGTATAGCCTCTGTTCTGAAGAGTCACCATAAAGCCAACACCTCTGACAGGACATCCAAGATTGAAGTGACAGGAAAATGAAACATCAGAGCTGAAGTTTGTCACCCTCTGAGAACTCTCCTGGGCAAAGCTAAGTGTCTTGAAACCCACTCCCATCCCTCTGGGGCTCTGTGGCGAGTCAGAGAAGTGGACACCTGAAAAGTTGGGCATCAAAAACTCAACGCTGCAAGCCTACCCTGCAATCAATACATTACATCTCTTGTAGCTCACTCAAAACCTATTTGCTGGGCGTTAGGTGCCAATCACCTCACATGCATAGGAAAGCCGGACAACGCATAAGGAAGACCAAAGAATGGATGCTTTAAACTGTGGTGTTGGCAAAGGATAATATGCACACATGGGCTGCCAAAACAACATACAAGTTTATTTTGGAAGAAGTGCAGAAGAAGGCTTCTTAGAAGTGAGAGTGACAAGACAGTCTTCTTCTCAAACACTCTATCAGGAGGGGCAATCCCTGGAGAAAGACATCATGCTCAGGAAAGCAGAGGATCAACAAAAAAAGACAGCCCTCATCAAGATGGATTTACAGAGTGGCTGCAACAATGGCTTAAGAAGAGCAGAGATGGTAGAGGCACAGGACTTGGCAGGGTTTCATTCTGTTGCACGCAGGGCGAGTTGGAGCTGACTCGATGCATCTAACAATGGCCATCATGATAGCATCTTTAAGACTGGACATTAACACTACAGCCTGGAAAGAGATCCGGTCAAATGAGCCAAGACACAGGGTGGGCCTCAGCAGTGCTGGGGAGGGTGAGACCAGTGCAGAAGGCAGGACTCCAGCTCAGTTCTTTTTAGACAAAAATGTTGTGGTGGAATCAGCACGATTAAGAGGAAGAAGTGGTAAGAGTATGAAAAGGGACATGTATATGGTATGTTCAGTCACACGGGTCTATTCTCTGGCCCCAGAGCTAGTGGTATTGGGGAGCAGGGCAAGTTCACCAGTATAAGACATATCATGGGAAAGCAGGAAGAGCTAGCCTGGAGCTGGCAAGGGCCTCTGATATGTGCTCCTTTTCCAAGCTGACCCTGTGGTACACTAAGCAAGCCATGTCCTCTCTAGGATTCACTATCTTCTTGTCTCTTCCAAATCTAAACCCTCTACATATGCAGGTTTAAAGAAACCACCAAGGAGAGCTGGCAGCTGAGCAAGATCTTTGGATCTGAGGTCCCTATGCTGAGAAGCTCCTAAACTCAGAGTAAGTTTAAGATCTAAAGACATCTCTAGAAAATATTTGGCCCACAAATATAAAATAAGAGAAAAGAATGTTCCCCTAGAGCCAGCAGAGAGAAAATATTCCCTAGAGCTGGGCCCTGAATCAGAACTTCTATGCTCTTAACTATGAAAGACTAAATCTGTTCATTGAAAAAGAAGAAAAAAATATTACAGTTCAAGGGCCCTCCTACATCACAGATTATATATACACAGTTAAATATGTTCATTATCAATATTTGAGAGAAACCACATTCATAAACATCTTATACTCATTCGTGCCCCTTGGGTTCTCCTACCCCTGGTAGATCTAGGAAACAGGAATGATGTTTATTGACCAAACAAAGCCATTTCAATCCAGGAGCTGGTCACAGCCACAAAGACACAGCCTCAGGTTCAGATCAGTCCTTCTTTGTTATCTTTAAGCCAACAGGTTTGTAACCTTAAGGAAAAGAAAAATACCAAGGATAATGCATGTTTTTCATTTAACTGTCACCTAGTTTTATAGGGATAATTTAAAATGAAAATTACAGAGGTAATGTAAACGGAAAGCTTGGTACTTGATGATTCTCTGTGGGCTGAAGAATAAAAGGCATCTAAATTGCTTCAATAACATAAAAGACGACATAGACAGCTCTGCAGCTGCTGCACAGGCAGCAATGGCCTTGCATGAAGGTGACTAGTCACAGGTCCAAACACAAAGGGCTCCATTTTGGAACTAAACAGCATGAGTTGGTCCACTGGGATTAAAAAAGCAAAGTCAGGCCTACACCAGGACCAAGGGAATGAGAGACATATACAGAAGCCAAGGGTCCCAGCAGGTGGGCAAGATGTCCCAGGGGGCAACAGACTGGCTTCTGTTCAGGGATCTGTGTAACATTTTATGCAGCAGCCACCAGAGGCCTATCTGCCCAACCTTCCTCTACAAAGTCACCTACTGACCTGTTAGGTAAAGGACCTGTGCTGAACTCTGAACAGATTCTCTCAAGGCCTTTGTTAGGTGGCAGGATCTGACCTGTAGGCATCTTGAATGACACCATCATTGCTGTCTTCCTCCAGAGTTCCAAGCAAAGGCTACTGGTTAAGTCCCCAAAAGCCACACTGAACAAACCTAGCTCCATGTTACTGGTTTCTCACTGAAATGTGCTATGTGTGCTTGAAGTGTCTACTTTTCAAACACAAAACAATCTCAGGGTCCATTAGCTCCTTAGTAAGATTTCGGAGGGATTCCACTAAACAAAGGCTGCTTCTAAAACTGACCAACAAGCATAACTTGTTTGACTGAGTTTCTCTTTACTGTACTTCAAAGCTATTCATACACCTAACAGACTACAGTACAGTATAAACATAATCTTTATATGCAGTGGGAAAGCAAACAATTCATTTAACTCACTTTACCAAGATAGTCAATTGAGGTAGACTAGAACCGAACGTGTGACTTCTCTTAGGTACACCTATGCTGAAACCAGAATCTGTGGGCAGAATCTAGACCATGTGCAAAGTGATCAGTCCCTCTCCTGGAGACCATGCCAAAACCCTTCCTTTCTGTCTCCCAATCTGACCCTTCCCACACTCACAGCACCAACTGCCAAGGTCAAGAGTGCCTGACTGCCACCCAGCAAGATTATGTTCTTTGTCCAAGGACAGAACACTAATCAAGGCGAGTGCGGGTTATACACGGACTTCTTTTCCCACCAAAGCAAGCTGCATCCTCACTCATGTCACCGGCTGCTGTGCGTTTTCACAGGAAACAAGACAAAACCAGTGGGAATAAAAGATGACACAGGAAACAAAAGATTTCATAACAGAATTGCCAGACACAGATAAAAAACCAAGTATATGTCTTAATTTCAACAAATATCTGCAGGGAGAATGATATAAATAAGGAGACCTGTATGGAGTATGATCTGGCAAAGTGGGTAAAAAAGCCTGAATATGGGTCTAAAAAGCAGCAGATGGACAAAAAAATGGGGGGAAATGAAACAACAAGGCCAGATGGAAGACTCAGGGGGAGAAAAGAACGTGAGAAAGGAAAGAATATGAGAAAGAGGCCGAATGACTCAAGCCAAGGCAAGTGGGGAGAACGGGGAGAACATGAAGGGATATGAATCCCCCTTCAGCGAAAGCAGAAGAAGCAGGGAGTGAAGGTAGAATAAGGCTCCCTCCAAAGATGTCCATGTCCCAAATTCTCAAACCTGTGAACAGATCACCTGCAAAGACATGATTAAGTGAAGGATCTGGAGATAGAAAGGTATCTGGGTAGACCCAGTCTTCAAAGATGAAGGAAGGAGGCAGGAGAGGCAGAGGGAGAGATGATGTACTAGCAGGGGGTTAGGTGATGGGGCCATGAGCTGAGGACAGTGGGTGGCATCTAGTCCTAAAGAAAGCAAAGAAACATTCTCCCCATTGATCCTTCAGAAGGAATGCAAGCCTCCCTAGCTACAACTTGATTTAAAGATAGTTTACCATCCAAATAGGAAGGCAGCACATTTGTGTTGTTCTGAGTCACTAAGATGTAGGAATCTATTATAGTAGCAATGGGAAACTAATATAATGCAGTACTCCCTACTGTTTACTGTACAGTCTAACTTATAGTTGATACTCTACAGGTTAATCCACCACACTCAAGTCATCAGGATGCCTTTCTAAAGAAAAACTATGGTTTGATCCCAGGTTTTGGCACAAAAAAAAGAGAGAGAAAATAATATAGTTCCATATTATTTTGTGGACTTGAACAGCTAATGTTAAAAGTACTGGGGAGGGGGGAACCTGCCTTCATTTATAAGAGAAATAGAAATGAAAGTTCTATATTACTTACTAAAAGGGAATAAAGGGAAGCAACAGATTAAAGAAAAGGTTCATAAAAAGACAGAGAAGCAAAGAAAGAAAACATCTGGCTTATTTTCCAGAATCAAATTTTAACCTTCAGAACTTGAGGGAGAAGTAATACAATGCTTTTTCATCATGCCAATTAAAACAATTATTTTCAAAAAGCTCACATTGTTCTGTAGTGTTTACATGAAAATGTGGCTCCAGTT